AGTTTTTAACACCACAAATGCATGTCAACTATCAAGAGAGATTTGTCCTTCAGATAAGTTGTGGATAAAATGGACGTAGTTCTATCAAACAGACCTATGTGGCGGTGAGAAATATGGGGTGTGCTCTAGAAATCTGCATAAGAAGCAATGTAAAAGTGGGCGTGGTTCCTTTTGAAGAATTGGAAAAGCGGGATATTGCATTCTATCAAGCAGACCTATGTGCCAACTGAATGCGGAACTCATGAGCCGCGGGCACGGCAAGAGAGCCTTGTGGACAGGGCTCATGAGTTACAGCGCCCCGACGACGATCTCCCCGTCGCACGGCAACTCCTTCATTGCCGCTGACGTCACTGGCGCTTTATTATTCTCATTCACTCTTACGCAAGAGAACTAACGAGCACACCCCATATTTCTCACTTCCACATAGGTCTCTTTGGTAGAACTACGTCCAAATGAGACTATGTTCAACTTGTGAGAGTAAAATTGGTTTGTTTTTCTTCCACACCGAAAAAGAAGTGAAATTGATTCAACATTCTGGATGTAAAACAAAAGTTTGAGAGAACTTATGAAATGCTTAACCACCCACCGCAGCAGTGAGCTTTACATGTAGGCATTGTTAAAGTAATTGCTGTAGCTTATAATTCAGCATTTTATAAGTTCTCGCACACTTTTTTTACATCCAGAATGTTAACTCAACTTCATATTTTTTCTTGCATTTTGGTTTCATTCATCAGTGGGAGTGATGTTTGCATTACGCATCCACAGGTGTCATCAATGAGGCACAGGTTGAGGGAAACAATATGCAATCGACTCGGGTAATGACGTCACTCATATCCATTTTCGAAAATGCGATGAAATGTGGTTAATTGGCGTTTGGAACCGTCTTTCCTCCTTTTTAAGTGGCGTGGCATGAATGATCGATTATCTATATTCCCCCATTTGAAGCCATGGTAAAGAATCGATTATTAAAGTGTTCGTCGCGAACGCCCTGTGTATCGATATTTTCCATGGGTTCAAATGACAGATCAATCGGTATATCGCAAAGCACGCCACGCCACTGCTTTTTTTCGGGGCGATCTTCACGCTGTACAAGTCTACGGAGCTACCAATTCAAATTATTAATTGATAAAGTAATTTTTCTTCTGACATCGATGGGACCACACTAAAATACAATACCCTCTCAATCAGCTCATCAAAAATTGGGACCCCTCGTAGCATCGCAACGTCAAGATGGTCAACGTCGGAAAATGTCGCAATTTTCGGATCTGAAGATTCTCAGCGGAAATTCCACGATTTTTTCAACGGTTTCGCACGCGTTTGGTATTTTTTTTCTTCTGCCATGCTAAGGAAGAACGCCGTATAAACATTCGAGAGTTGCCAAATTTCCTCTTAGAAAATGTTCGTTTATGAAGAAAGTTGTGAATATTTTTCCTTGAAATTTTCAGATATTTTAGATAGAATTGCGCACAAAATTGTCTGAAAATTTTGGAAATTAATACCCACAATTTTCCCGGTAAATTCAGTTTTTATCGGAGGAAACTTGGCAACGTCTGAAGGTTGAAACGGCGTTCTTCTTCATAGAACGGCAGTCTTAGTATCGCTGGAAATACGCCATCATCTTAGCTGATTTGTATACCAATTAGAAATTAAAAAAGGGATTTTCATGTTTATATTACGGAAAATTTTATTGGAGAAAACATGTAAATGACACGATTTTTGCATTAGTATCATGGTAAATACGCATGATAACGACGTGAGCATACTAATATTACATGTCAGTATTTTGGAACTGTTCAAAAGCTAAGATACTCCTTCATTTCCGCGTGATACCATACTACGTACCTACTCCAGAGTTCGAATAGCTGTGTGCGGTTATGATAACGATGTGAACATAATATTCAAGACACGTTAGTCTTTTGACACTATTGATCAGCTAAAATTCTCCTTCATCTTTGCGCGCTACCACACAACCTACCTTCTCCGTAGTTCTTGGCGGAGAACGTCAATACCGAATATTTCAATTGCCAACGGTTTTTTATCCATTTAAATGTAAGAACATAAAACAACCAATTTTAGATTTGGAAACCCACGTGAAGTGTCTCACTAAAAAGCAAGGGCCTCACCAATTCTGAATTCATTTACGCGGAGGAAAAAACTGGTTCCCAATTTTCGAAAATCTTCAAATAAGATCGTGCTGAACCCTTCAATGTTACCGAATTTCCTGCCATAAAATGTATATGTCTAAGTGAAGTTTTAAGTGGTCTTCTTTGGAATTTTGTGATTCGCTAAATTATGCTATTAAAATAATTATTTGGAATATTCATACCAAAAAATTATTTGCGAATCTCCCTGAAAGTTCGTAATTTATTTGAAAACTAAAAAAACAAATAAAAAATTGGCGATGACCGATCGTTTCTCCAACGTTTCTTCCTACAAGTGGCCCGATAAATTATTTTGCGGAATTCTAACTGATTCTTCTTGGTGCTTTAAAAAATAATCTGCGAATTTTTCAAACCGTTAAATGCCTTTTTATTTCCCGTTGAAAATAAAACAACGGCGGATATTCCGCATCGTCACGATTCGTCGTTTCCCGCACGAAGGAACGTAACTGCATTTCAATGTTGCCAAATTTCCCTTCGTAAATTGCATTTTAACCAGAAAAATCTTGGGCATTTCTGACTGAAAATTTCACAGATTTTTCTTCAGATTTCATGCAAAAATCAGACAAATTTGGATAAAAATTGCACACTTACATTTTTGTAAAATAAATTAATTGTTGGAGTCAATTTGGCAACCTTGGATTGGAGTTACGTTCCTTCGTGCGGGAGACGACGGATTGTGAAACCAGCTTCGATTAAGTTTAAAAATCGGTCAACAATAGAGCACTAGAGCACGGTCAACAATCAAATATTTTTAAGATCTTAAAAATTCACTCACTCGGGAGAAGAAATTTTCAAATTCCGATACGTTTCGACCCACATTGGTCATCATCTAGGACGCAACACCGCACGTTGTCGCGTCGTGAAATCTTCTTGAACATTTTCTTGAAAAAACAAATTTTCTGGAAATTTTCTTTAGTCTTATGAAAATGTTTGCACAAAACTCCGATGAGATATTTTGGTTAATTTCCCCTCAAAAAGTAGGAACTACTTACGATAGAAGATTTTGAAACTTTGCGATTGTCTTGAGCATTTGAATTCAACTTGAGCCATTGACTTTTCAAAATTCTAAGAAAGGTGAAGGAGAGCAACCACAAATCGTTCAACCTTATTTTTTGTGTGTGTTTACGCTGTACATTGAAAGTGTTTTATTATCACCCTTTATATTTCAGGTCCCTGTCGATTTCAGAAAAGTTGGCACGCAACGCGGCTGTTAAATGCAATTTTCCCGACCGGTGCCAACTCTTTTGAATCGCCTTTTGTCGTACTAATATTTATATTCTACTGAAAGCTCAAGAGATGGGGATGAAGTTGAGCTTTTAAACACCTCTAGTGACTTTTAGGACGTTGTAATGTATGAGCTAGTTCAGTGGCGAGGTGTTAATGATCGATTATCGATATTTCCCCATTTGAAACTGTGGTAAAGAATCGATTATCAAGGTGTTCATTGCGAACAACCTGTCTATCGATCCTTTTCCGTATGTTTAAATGGCAGATCAATCGATATATCGCAAAGTGTACCACGTCACTAAGCCAGACATGTCGTGAAATTGCAATAAAAACTGAGTCCTTTAAATTTTCGCATGTTTTTCGAAGAATCTGTTACACACAAAAGACACTGTCAACTAAGTAAAATTTTCATGAAAGAGCCTACAAAAATCATTTTGAGCTCATGCACATTAGATTGTCAGATTCCTTGAAAGACTATTGTTCATTCTTCTCTACTTTTAAGAATGTACCTCGCGACGCCTAAACATTTTTTTGGGGGTTTCTTTGCTTCATCTCCACCTCTTGAATTCAGACAGCATTGAAAGTGGCACCAAAAATCTCTCGCTGGAACTTCTTCGTGCTTCCTAGGAATTGCATCCTAAAAACACAAGGCGAATTTTTCCGATCGATTTGATAAGTTTTGGCCAAATTTTTTACTTTTTTTTTGTTCTTTCAGCCAACGAATTTCAAACCTTCTTACTTTTCTCAATTTTCGAGCTCTCAGAGTTAACCTTGCGCCGAAATTGTCAGATTTTCTTTCTCTGTATGCATCGGTGCCAATAGCTTAAGGTTCTCTCCAAATTGAAGTCCATTAATTTCACCAGGAATTTTGCAATCGGAGAGGTATGGTGTTGGTGCGCTTATTAGAGATCTCCTAGGACGTTGACACGCACCAAAAATTAAATAAATATAAAAGCCTTAAATTTGATTTTTCGGAAGACAAGATCCATTCCACAGATCCGATTAGATCCGATCACCAAGCAGTCCAAATGACCACTCAAAAGAGCACATGTATTATCTTAGATCACAAAAATTCGCCTTGTACATGCCCTTATTCCACAAACCGATGGCTCGGGAACGGTACTGCCTATCTGCAAACCGACAATTTTGCAGGACATTGTAATTTTGAGAGGTGTTTTTATTAAATTTTTTCTTACACTACAGCGCTTCCATGCGGAATTTGAACACACTAAACACATCAGCTTGCGTATTTTATATTGCAAAATGCGGCGAATTTACTAACTCATTTTCGCTCAAATTGTCTGTTAGACAGTATTGCTCCTCAGCCATCGACATCGGCGGACCCAGCAAATTGGCAACATTGTCTATTCTCTATTTAAACTTGTGGAAATGTATCGATTCTTGGAGGGGCCAGGTGCTCGGTGCTCCGATAAGGATCGATTATTTACCATAGCTTTAAATGGAGGATATCCAGTGTTGCCAAACTGCTGAGCCCGCCTCTGGCCATCGATACAGGTACCAGCTGCTGGAGCGGACTCCATGAGCGCATTGCCGTGTCATTCTCCATTCGGGTGTTTTTCGATGGTTCTAATCTGTTTAATTGAATTTTAGGTGTGATTTTATTCTCAAGCGTGGTCTACTTCGCTGAGGCCGGTACCGAACAGTCCTACTTCAAGTCCATCCCGGACGCGTTTTGGTGGGCAGTCGTCACCATGACAACAGTAGGCTACGGCGACATGAGGTATGCTCGTCAACCGGTTTCATCGTTGAGCGGTGAAAGTCGGTCGTAACGAGATTCGCCGCCCCTCAACTGGATTCCGTCCAAAGCCGCTTTCCCATCGTGCGTTGGCGGATCCAGCAACTTGGCAACATTGTCTTTTCTCCCTCTAAACCTATAGTAAAGTATCGATTCTTGGAGGAGCTAGGTGCTCCGACAAGAATCGATACTTTACTATAGGTTTAGAGGGAGAAAAGACAATGTTGCCAAGTTGCTGGATCCGCATGTGTCATCGTGTAGGGGAGGGATTCTTTATCAATCAGTCGATTTTCCCGCGAATGGGGGTGGGGCGGAACTTGGCTGATTATTGAATTGATGGACAGAACTATAGAGGAAGGAGGTACAAAGAAAATGGAGCGATTCTATTGGTCGAAACGGGTGGTTGTTTTGCGACTAACGGGAAATGATAGACTAACTTGTGGGTTGCTCCTAGCCAGTTAGTCTATGAACTTGTTCACTTCAACCATCCGCTTCCATCCCTGGAATCGTCCCATTTTTTCTTTGTCTCTCTTGTCGATCCCTTTGTCTATCAATTTTAATTATCAGCCTGTTAAAACAGACAGGAACCCTTCACTGGTATCTTGGCAATGATGGAAGCTTTTACTTGCAAGACCTCCCATTTATTGAATGCTGACTACCTCTTTGTGGTTCCGAGTATTGGCGGCTTCAGCAAATTGGCAACATTGTCTTTTTTCAATTCAAACCTATGGAAATGTATCGATTCTTGGAGGGGCCAGGTGCTCGGACAAGAATCGATTATGTAGCATAGGTTTAAATGGAGGGAATTCGATGTTGCCAAATTGCTGGACCCGCCTCTGGTTCTGAGACGAGTCAAACGATTTGTTTAGTAAAAGAGTCTATGCTCGGTAAACTTTTTCGGCGCATTTTGTCACCCAAAGCTCATCAGTCTACAATAAAATGGACCGCGTTAAGCAGAAAGGAATCAAGCCACATCAGCTATTGCCAAGTTTATTCAGAAATTTAATTTTTTAAACGGTTGTGCAGATTTTCGTTCAGATTCAGTGAAGAGAAGTACAAGACACAGTGCGAGGCAAATTCCTTCAAATTTTCAAAGAACTCCGCACTAACGTTCTCTCGTAAAAATTGAATTGCCCGGTTAAATTTGGCTATAGCTGACGTGGCTTGCTTCCTTTCTGCTAAACGCGGTCCAAATGGGCAACAACCAAAGAAAAGGTGGATGAGCGTTGCTTCCTTCATCGCACATTAAGCAATGTTTCCTCGATAGATAAAGTTGTAAATTGTTACCAAGAAGTCAGTTGAGGTTCCTCCTACTCGTCTCTGGTCTAATACGGAAGCTAAGACAAATCGAGAAATAAAAGAAATTTTAAAGGGGCCAGTTTCCAAAAAATTTCGGGTGAGGCCTTTTGGACCCCCCCCCCC